ACTTGATGAAGCTAATGGAGTGGGGGTAAAAACAGATGACTTTTACCGGCAAGTGTATGAAATGAATGAAAAGGTTGTTTCAAAGAAAGTCACTTTCAATTGACAAAATTGAAGTTCTCTATTTCCATGCCTTTTTATTTTCATTCCAAGATATGCGGAAACAGATGTGTGTTAGGTAACTGTTTAGTGCCTTTTAGCAACTAGCAGTGAAATGTGAACAAAACTATTAGAGTTATCAGAGACTTGAGAATCATACTGGGATGAAGTTATCTTGAACAAACCAGCAAATTTAACATCGCGCAATTGAACAGCTGCTCGGTCGGCAATCACATGGAGATGTATGTGAACTAAAAACCTGGTATAAACTTATCGATTTCTGTATGTTCCTTTGAAATGAAGAAGCTTGTTATTTTGACTTTCCATGGATTTTTGCTTGGACATTCCTGATTTCACAAAAATTTTCTCGTTGAGTATGTTAAGTTGTTTGTACCATGTGTTCTTTGAGAGATTAACTTGGAGTATTTAATCTACAAAATAGGCAGACAGAATTGGAACAGAATCGGGGCAAATTAGTTGTAGTCTGCATTGACGGCTTTCGGCCAATGCACAAGTAACAATCCTACATGCCTGTCTTTGAGTAACTAAAAGAACATTTTGCATTCTCATCCGTCTATAACACTACATAGCAATTGAAGGCTTTCGTGCAAAAAGGGCGTACATGTATATACGTGTAACATTTTGGGCCGATTTTTATTTTTTGCAGTATCGAGCTAATTTTTGGTAGACTGACTTGTTTTGACATGAAAAGCATTGTTACGTAATTGTTTTTGTTGATTTGCGCTTCATCTTCGAGAAATAACGTATGCAAAATACAAAAAACTCAGTTTTCCAAGGGTATCTTTTGGAGATCTTTTGTTGAATGAAAACAAAAGAAACCTTTCATTTTGCTAAACGATGAGGTTACTGAAGCGTGGCATTTGCCGCTAGTTTTATTATTTATATAATTACGCTATTCTCTTACTGTTGCTTCGTTAGTGCAAGTGAATAAGGCGCTGAACGGGCTGGATTCGAGTTTGTTTTGTCGTGACACCAGTTCGATTTTTTTTTTCCGGTCTATTTTTCTACTTCTTTCTGAAATAAAAACATCTATTTAAAAAAAAATGTGCTGTTGAAGCTGCTAAAAGTATCCGTTTAAGTTCATGTCACGTCCAAGTCCACCTTCTAAGGATTCGCTCCAAAAGATGCCGCTTGGAAAACTGATTTTTTTTGCATACGTTATTTCTCGAAAACGAAGCGCAAATCAACAAAAACAATTACACAACGATGCGAGTAGCCAACAAGTAGCCAGCAAAAAGCTGGCCGAGGGCTCTTCTGTAGTACACTGCCAATGATGCACTGCAGTAAGCCCACTTAGATGTGTACAAATTGTGTGACAAATAACTTATTACATTTTTCTTAAATTAATACTTCTTAAAAAAGAAACTTCAACGAAAGAACCTGTTTTAATTCATCAGTACTGTTTTCGAGTTGAAAACCTTTTTTTGCATAATGAAATATTAAATGTAGTTGGACCTCATTTCCCTGCAACAGTAAATGGTCTGAAATTGACTGTAAAATCCAAGTACTGCAGAACTCGGTGATTCACAGTTCATTGTTATTGGTTTAAAGCAAAAACAGTTTTGAAAATACAGTATATTTGGAAATGTTCTTTTTTTTTTTTCTGTTTCTTGCTCTGCGTCTATGAAGTTTGAAGGAAGTATACAATTATTTCTCAGCCCAGCCCAACTGGCACCAGAAAGCAACAAATTATAGATAGTTATCTCAATCGGTTTGTGACACTGTAACTGATCGGAGCGATGTTTATTTTGATGGCAAAATGTAGCTGCTTTCTTGGAATTCAAAGTTAACGCCCTTGTTGGATAAGCTTGTAGTGAAAACACCTGCTGTTTCTTTGACAGAATTGACTAAATCGCACCAACTGCTATAGATAGAGCAAGAAAATATCCCTTCCATGATGATGAAAGGCTGAAGATGCAATGTTCTGATGAATTGATCATCTTCGGAAGTCCGTGGTGGACAAGTACCTTGAGTCTTTTTAAGATCGTTTTAAACGATTTATCTATCTATCTAAGAGAGCAATTTATGTATCTAGAGGGTTAATTTTTGTTCCTTTACTTTCAATTTGTCTTTAGAGCAGCTCAAAAGTGGTTTTTTTCTTATAAAACCTAGTTAAATATGCTTGAAATAGCTCAGGGAAAAAATTGCATAATTTGCATGATTTACATGTATCGCCTAATAGCCTGTTCTTATCACATAATCAGCCGCAAAATTTTGCATATTAATTTATTTTTTTTATCGCACCCTATAAGAAGGTCTGCAAATAAAAGTTGCAAAGAAGACTTTACATTGGCCTAACCTACTAGAATAATAAAATATCTACCAATTATAACAGTTCCAGTGTGTAAGTTGCACCAAGAAACTATTACCTCTGAATCACCCTGGGCAATACAGCAAACCATTCAAACTAAGTTAATGATATTCCAACTCTGGGTGAGCCAGGAATATGGCCACTGGGGCTTTTGGTATCGGGACAACCTTTTACTCCATACATGTATCCAACTGACTTTTCAGCTATAACTTCATAAATCAATCTTCCATCATCATTTGGCAGCGCTAAGCAAAGAAATTGCGTTAGTTTTAATGTAGAACAATTTATTGTAGAAAACTGCAATTAACTTGCTAGAAAACTGCAAATCAAAGATTTTAAGTTTTAAGCATTGACCCAGGGTTTTTAAATTGAAATAAAGCTGCAGGAGGAGATTGCAAAGCAGGCAGAGGACTGTTTGGTTGCGATAAAGTCGGCTATGTAGGGAAGGCTGAGTGACAAAGTAGGTTACCCCCTGCTGCATGGGGGAATGGGGTGCTGGCCCTGGAAAAGTTTGAAAATCTGTGAGCCATGACTTGGATTCTGGTGCAATTTTAGTGTCCCAAAAAGATTTTGTTGGATGCCTCTGAGTCACAGAGGGCACATCATTGCCAATGAGTTAGATGAGCGAAAACGTCAGTCTGATGAGATGGCAGCTATATAGCGCTATATATAGTGTTAAGGTTTATGCAGCAGGTTACCCAGAAAAATTCTCAGATTTTCTCAGCTCGATTTTGCACAAGTAAACATTTCTGGTGCCACAAGTATTTTTTGGCCATACTGTATTAGGATGTAGGCAAATGTTGTTGATATTTGGGACGAGCCAATCAGAACACTTTTCCTGTGGGACTCAAAGCATTGAACAAGATTATCCAGGTTGTTTTTCAGTGTTTAGTCTTTCTGGCGTGGGATTAATCCTTTATTTCGGTTTAATTTTTTGCCTGAAATATTTTTTATTTAAGGGGTATGAAACTTGGATAGGCTCATCAAGACCCGAGTTGTTTTCTGGAATAGACTTGAGTGTGTGTGTTGTTTATTCGAGCAAAAGCACTCTTTCATTGGTCAATTTTAACTGTGTTGACAGAGTCAAAGGAGCTCAAATTGAACCAGCGAGTGCACTTTGTGAGTGGAGTTCTGAAAACTTCAAGCGAAACAAATATTTAGTGACATCGTGTCTAGATACCCAGCAGCCGGGAAGTGTTTTGAAAAAACTAGCCTACTTGGCAGTCTGAAATTAATATAGAAATCCCATGGAATAATTCATTTAATTCTTCTTACAACTGTACAGTAGATCTTTGTTTAGCCATGTCAAGTGATTCCAGTTATTATTTTAGCTTTTTACGAGCTTGGGCATACCATAAAATCTCGAGGCTTCGGCACAGAAAATTTTCGTGCTCTGACTCTGGAGTCAACTTGTATAGAATAATGCCTTCAAAAATCACAATCGAAACCGGCTCAGAGAGTACTCAATATTTGTTCAGAAATGCCGAGTGATTCTAAACAATGTTTTGGTTTTTTGATGGACAAATTCTCTTAGCCTCGGCATACTATAAACATCTTGCCTCATGTCACGGGCTCGGTTGTTCAAAAAACTAGACACCCGGTGGTCAAAAATTCCTAATCAATAATAATCAATTCCAGAAATGCTTGAGAATGCTTGACCTCTGTGTAGAAATACCATGGGATTTCCGAACTTATCAGGCCTCTACATTGAATTGTTCCCCTGGCCTCAGCATGGAAGCACATAACACGATGAAAGTTCACCACAGATTGCGTGACATTGTTGATAGGTACTGAGTGACTGCGGAGATTTGCAGTTCTTAGAACTGTTGGCTAAGCTATGTTAACAAGTAGCTTATTCGATATTCGACAGCCAGTTTTTTGAAAAAGTGTGTTTATAATAGATATGAATTTCAAAAATAAAACGTTCATAATAGTCAAGTACTTAAGCTTGTGGTTTAATAGTTTTGACTGCCAGGTATCTGGGTTTTTGAACAACCATGCCTGTGCGTCAAGATCAAGACTTAATCTATAGTATGCTGAAGCTAATAGAATTCATCCACTACAAAACCAAAACATTATTCAGAATCGCTTGGCATTTCTGAACAAATATCTACATCAAGAAAGTTGTGCTGTACGTATATACGTGTAAGAAATAGAACTTCTTTCTCAAAATTAGACTGTTCACAGTCTCTCTATTTATGCACGTGAAGGAAAAAGTGAGCTGAGTGAGCACGAAGCACGTGGGAGTGGGGGATGGGGTTTGTGAGCAGAGAGAGCAGTAAGTCAAGTCAAGTCTCAAGTGTCTAGTTATCTTCTGACTCTATCTGCATGTTCAACGATGGAATAAAAATACAAGAAAATAGAGGGCTGTGAACAGTTTACTCAAAATCACCTAAAGGACAATAGTTTTCTCAAATTTTAAACATTTCAAACAAATCATAAATTAAATTATACTGAAGTTGACTTTGGAACACGTGGATTAATTTAGATTCACTTATGCTCTAATCCTGTCCATGGTTTTCTCTCCAATATGGAGCAGCAAATAACTGACTCTATTTTGCTTTTACAACAGTTTCTTGATGATTGTATTACAGATGGATCAACTCACAAAAGAGGGAGTGGAAAAAAAAAATCTTTGAATAATGGCAATGGTGAGTACATTTCACAGCAAACTTTTAATTATTACAATAAAAGCCTGATTTTATTCGTTACCATGTTTTCCAGGTACTTAATTATAGATCCCCAGTTCCTTGTAAAGCTCCCTGTGACGTCCAACTATTTAAAATTTCACACTAAGATCAGTCAGAGCTTAAGCATGTCCTATGGATATAAGGTGGTGCTCAGAATGTGGGAGGGTTTGTCAAATTGTCCATTGCTGTGTCGTTAATTCCAACTTCGAGTAAGGTTCTCTCCTGTGTAATACTCTGCCTTGCTTGGCATGACGTGTTCTCTGTAGATGCGCCAGTGTCGGATCAGTTTAATGTAATGACTACGATAGAAATCTGGTGAAATTAACAGTGAATAATATTTTGGCAACATGACTGTTAAGGGAACTGTCTCTGGTGGCATATATTTTTTAAAAAAATGGCCAATTGTCCCAAGGAGATTGAAAGTGTATGTAACCTGGTTTAGTTTTTGTTTTAGCCGTTATTTTAGAAAAGAAAATCCATTTACAATAAATGCTTTCTCATAGAAAGATGTAGGCCACATGCTTTGAGAACTTGTACAAAGAAATTTGAAGTCTTGTGCTAACAAAGGTACATTTCACGTTGAGAAGTTTACATCAGTATAACTATTAAAACTTTTCATTGACTTGTACAGCTGTAAATAAGGACTGGATTTCCCGAAAGGGGAGGAGGGTTTTGCCAACCAAAATTTGAAATTATTGAGTTGACCTGGAATTTCCAGAAGGAGGTGGAGACGTTTTGATTTGAAGGGAGAGATAAACTGCACCTGTTCCTCAATAGATGTCTCAGTGAATTTGATATACCTGAGATAAAAAAACATTTTAAGAGATGGTTACAGATGTCCAGGCTAAATGTTTTAGGAGAAAAATGGTATTGTTCAAAAGTATAATCATTGCTTGAAAACCACTGACATCAGTATTGTCAGTGTGATGAAACATGTCAGAGGTAATGTACCTTCCGTTCAACTCCAGCAATTGCTGATTGAAATTGCCTTTCTCACACAGTGCCAGCATCTAAAAGAAACGTTTTAGTGGGATTGATCTTAAAAAGTGTTGGTTTAGGAATTCAAGGAGGAGAACTTTGGCTATTTATTGATATTTACATGTAGTTAACTTAGTAACTTTTGTTTTGAACAAAATCATCAAACGGAGAGGTGTTTCAAAGATAAGTTATTGTCTTGACATACCACGAAATTCACAAAACTAATTTGGAAGAATATTGCAGTCAGTGAGAAAAATTAAAAAAAATAGCATTTAACTGTAAAAAGCTTCATGTTGTACAAAAATAATCGCTTGTCACATTGACAACTTTACCCTGGAAACATGGTGAAACTTTAAATCATAATCTAAGAAACACATATAAGAACCCGAAAAATTATTCAAATACCCAAAGGATTCCCCCCTCACAAAAAAAAAAAACAAGATATGAAGAAGTGGAAGGGCTAGGATTCGATGAGTTTTGTGTTCATCCCGTTGAGCTTATACAGGAGTCCTTTGCGTGCACCATCTTATATCCAGACCTTTTAATTCATGACAATTAGGAGAGCCTGCTGGGTGATTTAAGATAACCTTTTCCATATTTTGAGCGTGGTCATACTGCATGAAGACACTGTTTGGACAGCTGTGATAACAACATGAAAATTTAAGCTACCCTCACCCTGACGATCACATCAGAAGAACTACAGATACTCTTGGGTTCAAACCATTTACCTTGAATTGTTTGAAAATTCATAACTTTACCAACTTTGCGATATTTTGAGTACAAACTTGGTGAATACTAAAGAATGATTTCATAAATTTTCACTGATTTGCTTTGTTTAACTCTTTCAAGTATCACCGACTGCTTCAAGTCAACTAAACTTGGCTTAAAGTTGCTATGATTAAGTCCAAACACTTGTATTCTTCAAGATTTTGCTGTTATTTAATCGAGTGATTTATTTCGCATATTTAAAGAGACTTTATTCATCGAAAAGTTCGAAAAAGGTACCAAATTGTCAAAATTACCCATTGCGTTTGGTCAAGTTATAATAAAGTAACTATGAAATTAAATTTTTCACAAATCCTCAAGATAATGATTTAAGTCTTTTACGAAGCTATACATGAAATACTGGTAATGAATGGGTTTAATTTCGCCAAGCTGGTATCGATAGTTAGTATGTTTGTTAACTAGTATGTTTGTTTGATTTAAAACAGTATTTACGGACAAAATGCTTTACGATTTACTTATTTGCATTTGATTTTTCCTTCTAGATTCAAAGACGAAGTTCATTGGAGTCACCAAAGAGCAAAGCAAGGCAAAGCAGATTTTAATAAAATCACTTTTAGTAGGGAAAGACCGGGTTAAATGCTGTACTTTTTAAGTGGTCGAGGAACAAGTCTGCAAAATTGCGTTTTTAAGGTAACAAGAAAAAGGTCGGAAAAAAGCCAAGTCTTTTTACGGCAAAATTGTCTTGGATTAAAAATTTACGCTTGAAAGCGAACGAGGAATAAAAAAGTGAAAAAAAAACGCTATTGTAAGTCTTTTGGCGGAAAATTTTCATGGTTAAAGATATTGCAGTTTCACAAGGGACCAAAAAAAAGTCAAAAAAAAAATTCTAAGTCTTTTGGCGGGAAAATGTTTGTAGGTTGAAGACATTGCGCTTTTAAAAAGGGACCAAAAAAGTCGAAAAAAACACTAAGTCTTTTGGCGGGAAAATTTTTCTTAGTTGAAGATATTGCGCTTTAAAAAGGGACCAAAAAAAGTCGGAAAAAAACCTGTCTTTTTGCGGGAAAATTGTCCTTAGAAAAAAAAGTCTGCGCTTTTGAATGGTGTCATGTTTTGAGTCAAAAATATACTAAGTCTTTTGGCGGGAAAAATCTTGCCTTGTGCAACGAATTTGTCCCATCAAAATTCAAAGTATGTGTTTGATTTCTGGCTAGACTCTGTTCAAAAGTGCAGAATTTTTTTTCTTTTTGGCAACCCTACATAGTCAAAAAATAGTAAAAGAGATAGCCTACATTCCGACTAGTTTCCAGTCCCCTTTTAAAAGCGCAATATTTTTTATTTCTTTTATAAAATTAGAGACAAAAGGAGAAATAAAGCAAACAATACTTGTAAAGTTTTTTGTTTTACTTTAATTTACAAGTCTTATTAAGGCAAACTTGTTTACAGCTAATACAATTGTACATTTTACTGCAAGCTACATTTCTAAGTCTGAAAATTATTTGTAGTAATTACAAGAGTCAATGAAGTAAAACTAATAAGTCGAAGAAATGCTAAATCTAAGGATGAAACGTCCAAAATTAACTAAAATTCTGGCAAAAACTAATCACAAATTGTCAAGTTTTAAGAAACAATACACAGTAGTCGAAACTAAGACTATAGACTAACGAACATTTTTACGAACGAGTGTATACTAAGTCTGTCGAAGTTACGTGTAAACATTGAATAAAATCAAAACTGGCTCGTTGCTTTTTTACATCAGTTTCAAGTAAACTTTTACTCGGGTTTTGAAGGTAATTTTCCGTTGACTTACTTGAGAGCTTCTTTGCAAAAAATATTTCTTCAAAGTTTTAAAAGGATTGGCTACAAATGAAGTGCGGATCCATGTTCTAAATTGAAACCACTCGGAATAAACGATTTATAGGCTAGTTTTTAGTTTGAAAAATTTGCTCCAAAAAAAAAGCTGTGTAGTTCAGCATATGTCGAATTTTAAAGGTAAACAAATGGCGAAATCTGGATTCAAGACAATTCATTCTGATTTCGCAGTAAACAAGCGATTTGAGTTGCATGGTCAGCAAAAGAAATCTTGAGTAAGAGTTAAATCGAGACAAAAAGGAAAATAATATTACTACACCAGCATGTGCTTATTAAGATTTTCTGTGTAATTTAGGGCTTGTCGAATTTGACTAATCAAACAGCGAAATTTGGCGAGATTCAAGACAATTCCAACCGATTGCTTGGTAAACAAGCGAACGAAAATTTAATTCTTTCAAAAAAATCTTGAAAAAACCCGAACAATTTAGTTGCACGGTTTGGCCAAACAAACAGCGAAATTTGGTGAAATTCAAAGACAATTCCAACTGACTGCGTGGTAAACAAGCGATCGATAATTTAATTCTTTCAAAAAACTTAAAATATATATATAATTTAGGTGCACGGTCAGCTAAACAAATCAAAATTACAAATTGAAACGACTCGGAAAATACTACTTAACCGCTAGCTTTTAGTTTTCAAAGATGAGTGATTCGTTGAACGATTGGTGAGCTTTGACTGTAATGAAACAGCGAATGTGGCGAGATTCGAGACAATTTCAGCTGACTACAGTACTGACAAGCAAACAAGAATTTCTTCCCAAAAAGTTAAATTGAGCGTATGGTCGGCTAAAGAAATCATTTTTCGGTTGTGGTTTCAATAACATGGATCCACGTTTATTCAGTCCGTTCAGTCTCAAGTTCAAGATATGAATTCTCTTTCTTAACTCCTAAACGTTTCTCTTAGCAACAGTTGCGAGAATTTGGCGGTACAGCAAGACAATTAAGATACAGATTTTCCAGTCACTTTTCTGTTTTAAAATACACTGATTTTGTGAGGAGAAATTGACTGTCGATCAGTCATGGTGTATCTAAATTATTGTCCTTCACCTATCCAGAATCTTCTTCATGTTAGCAGGCATCGTGCGTCCATAAGAGTCCAAGACAATCCACGGAAATCCGCCAATGAGAGTCCACCAGAAGCCCCAGCAAGAAGTCGCTAAAGTAAATCAGCAAAAGATTGTGTCAACACTTTGCGACTAAATATGCATTGATGGTTAGACAAATTGTAAATATGCACATAAAAGTCTGCTCAATAATTTGCCACCCCAGAATGAAATCAACGGTCATTGATGATTTATTGTCAGTGCACTTGTCTACGGCAAGACAATTTGCATTTTGTTCGCGTTTTCATGTATTCATGATAATGTCGATTCTTCATATTTGGGAGAGCAAAAGACAATTGTAAGAAAAGTTATTTTCTTTGTGTTCTCTTAATTGTCAACTACCAAATCGTTAATATTTAGCTTTTTGGCTTCCAAAGCGACGTAAGTGTTTTGAATTTGAGTGTATTATTTATTTTAATTCTGTAAAAACGAAGCCGTTGGAAGTTTGGTTTCCACAAGACTTTATCGCCGCCATATTGAATGAGTTTACAACATGGCCGTCACCCCTTTGATCTCTCGGGATTGGTTGCAAACCATAAATACCAAGGATGGAATCTGCTCGAATATGTAATATGTAATTTGTTTACCGAAATCACATTGCTAATTTGCATCACAACAAAAATCCAACATGGCGGACACGGAGAGTGCGCCCTTCAAAGGTCATTCAAGGTCACCCAAATCCGGAGGGGAGGATATAACGACAGTGGCACGCGTCAGCAAGAATATTTGATTATATTCGTTTATCCTAAGATGAAGGCCCCACGAAAAATATAATTCAGTTTGATAAGTTCGTTCTCTAACGTCTAAAAATGAGTTGCCCCGAACAAGTCTACTGGCGGAATGACAGCTGTGGAATTGTTACAAACATTGTCGTAACAAAAGCCACCGGCAATAAAAACTCGATGTTATTCTCCCTTTTAGAGGAGAACTGATTTTTAAATCTTCGTTGATCCTTGCAAACACGTGCTGTTTGATATCGATCCGTTTGTTCATCATGACCTCCAACGCTAGTTAATGAAGCTGGTACATTGAAGGTTGATAAACTCACCTTTGTATTCATATTTTGATCAGAAGGGCATCTGTGATCTTCAAACCACGAGGAACCACAGCAATACCAGTCTACAAAGTGAGTAAGAAAACATCGTAAGCAAATAGACTAAATACATCAGGGTTTTTGTGACCAGGAAATATTCCGGTTACATTGGAAGATAAACTAACGTATAATGTTATCGCCTGAAGATATCGTGCGAAGTATTGCTTTTATCAGTTCAGCGGTGAGCCTTGCTGAAGTAAACATGTGCCAGCAACAAAAACAGCACAAACAATTTCAATCTGTTATTTTCTCCAAGCTCTGGGAGTGTAGATTTGTACAGCACTAAAATGAGACCTAAATTCTAAGACTACACGAAAATGTTTTCTTCCTTTTCAAGCCCATCAAGGCCACGTTATTGCTTGATAATGTTGGCATTTTAATCAATATCATTGATTTCTCAAGAAGATACTATTTGTGATTAGAGCGAGTCAAATCATTAACTTAGCAAATCGTTTTGCCAAGACATCTCAACCTTCTCAGCACAAGCAACGAAAGAAATTTATGGTAACCCGTAAGGAGAATATAAACTTCGAGATTAAGACTCATAAAAGTTCAAGTTACCTGAAGTTATCGTGTCAAGGATCACACCACTCCATGGAATCTAGTCTGTTTTATCGCCATTTCTCAGTCCTGGAAAAAGAATGAAATATTATCATGAGCTATATGCTATTGCTTTTAGAAATACTGAGTATACAGGCTTTTCGCCCTGGCTTTTCTTATCAATCTTGTTTTGCTGATAATAACACATACTTCGAAAATGTCATAAGCGCTCAATGCAAAATGCGCAAATATCAAATTCCTCTTCTCCGAGAGAAAGAACTCAATTTTATCAGTCCTTTGCAAGTTTCCTTTCACAAAAAGTCACCATCGGTCGAATGAATTCTCCGATAGTGAGAGTTCTAAATGCCGACGTTTATTGATGAGTGGAGAAAGCGTGACTAATATTCGAAAATTCCCAATTGTTTACCAACGTTTTATAAAACATGTTCAAAGAAGAAAAAGGCTAAGTCTATTCTACAAAAGACACTGATTTCGTGTACAGTTCTTACCTTGGCAAGCTCACTCGAAGCACGTGCTTGCAAGGTTTGCTTGAAATAATTTCTTGTCGCAGGTATTTGTATTTCGTCACAGCTCAAACCGAAAGGAGAGTCCCAAATGAAAGCTTGATATTTGTTCCCAGAAGTGGCCGAAAGCAAAGTTTAATTTCTGCTGGATAAATTCTTGAACGTACAGGTATATGTCCGACCGAACAACTCCACATAGCAAATGTTTTAGCACATGTATAATTTGCATTTTAAATTTTCAAATGTTTCGCGGCCACGCACCGCATGGCTTATTAAACGCAATCATTTGATTGGTTCGTCTTCTCATTTAACAAGGGCGGGATATTTAAATTGAGGGTGAAAATTTTTTTCGCTTCAACGTGTGCAAAGTCGATACGTACCTGCAGTTATTCTGAGAACTCATATTTTGATCTAAAAAGCAGAGAAAAATTAGCGAAATTGATTATCTTCCAGGCTCTTGCCGTCCTTGAGCGGGATAATTAACGAAGACCCTGGAAACTAGCTTTGCAATGAGATAGAAAGTTGATCTTATGGGACGTCAACTTTCTCGCTCCCTGACCCAAAGAGACTTACTCCCAATGTGCATGTATAAACCGATTATTTATTTTCTTGAAAATCTAACAATGTCTAGGCTTAAAATTTGACCAATTTCGAACAACAATGGCCAGCCAATGTGTGGTATTTTTCTGTCATCCGCTCACAAGGAGCGGAATTAAATAAATATATTGTCAAGACTGTCCTAATCCTACCCCTAACAAGTATATGTCCGAGGCAGGCGCATGATTACTAAAAGATACCTAACAAATCAAAATGATGAACAGAAGAACCCTATAAAACTTGCACCTCATAAAAGAGGCTACGTCACGCAAGTGTCGGTCGTACCTTGGCACGGGGCTTAGGTCATGCTGTTTTAATTAAGACTACAAATTATAACTGGCTATTTTTTAAAAAATGTTCATTCTCTGATGAAATCTCGGTAACAAAGCGAACAGATCGAATTTGAGATGAGTAAAAGTAATAAATGAAGAACAAGAGAAACTAAGCGAAACCATTATGGGCGGTTAACATTTAACACTTTTTTCAAACCCAGATTTCACCTGGTGAAGAAAACCACGCTATGTTCTATTCTAGCATAACTTTGTCTATTCATCGCTGTCTCTCTCATAAGAGCTTCTAGCGATTTTCGTCAATTTTAACCATTAGGAATTTTGACTTAAGGTTTGCAAGTGACAGAATGACACAAAAACAGCGTACCTGAGCTCAATTAAATAGATCATGATTTAAACAGCTAAAAAGCTGATATTGCTCATTCTCATTTGCTATTTGAAACTTGATTCAAAGTACCATGCATGAGTTCAAATTCAATACCAGTCTCTACGCGTCTCCCTTATTTCTAGTTGGGAGAATTTATTACTCGGTAAGAAAGACAATTTTACCCAACAAGCACTCTTGAATTTGTATACATATTCTCTGGATAAATTAGATTCTGTTCTGATTAATTTCACTGTTAATATAGATGCTGAAAATACATCTGGACTCCAGTATAAAATAATTAACGCAGCTAAAACGTTGCAAAATTTATATCCCGTGGAAAATTCCAAAATAAATTTTGAAAATAATATCAGCGTAAAGTTGTTAATGTTTTACCTCTTTACAATAGCAGAATTTCCTAGCGTAAGGTTGTTTACGCAAAATACAGCTAGGTTGATTGCCATAAAGATTTGTTCTACTCAAATTTGGATTAACGATAACATTATAGTCCTCTCGTATAGTCACTGTTGCTTCGAATAAAGCGTCCCCAGGACTTGTCATAAAGTTAATTCTATAGTGAAGACTGTCTGATGTAGGTAAGCCAAAATTCACAGCTCGATCCGAATCCTGGTTTGTACTGCTAAATCGCTGGAGCTTTTCGTTCGGCCTGTAACTGGAAGCCTTAAGAATCGTTTTAAGTTGGACTCTAGCGCATGACGTTCGCAGTAGCTTTGTACGATTTAGGATGACGTCATTAATGTATTTGACAGCCATTTGTGCTCCAACTATCACTTCCGGATGAGTTGTGTCCACGTCTGTGAATTCGAGGCATGGGCACCAGTGCTCGCCGACTCCTGTTGATGACAAACAAGAAAATGCAAACTACAAGCAAAGAAAAGAAAACATCGATCTGCTGAGTCCAGATCATGATGGGGGAAAACTTGCGGTAGATCCGTTAGATATTTCAGCAATAGTTATTCTCGAAATGGTGAAACTAGAACGAGCCGGGCGGGCCACGCTCGAAAATATTTAGTTCCTCCTACAAATACAATCGTTACTTGACGTCGGATCAAACATCTTATTTAATTAACTGTTAAAACTGAGAAGTGAGTAATGCAAAAATGTAGCGAACACAGACCTGCAGAGGAAGTCAATAAGATTGTTAACAAAATCGATATAAGCCAATCAGGAAGCACATTATGCCAAAACGCGTAACCGGCGAAAAGCGCGGGAAAAATTTGCGTGAGCCAATGGTTGGCATTTAGTTTGCTTCTGATTGGTTGAAATGACAACATGTTCACTCCGATTGGTTAGTGTTTTTCAGAACGTTTTGGTATGATCTATGGAGTTCTAAAAACACGCAATAAAGGTAAAGACAAAACTTTTTTCCTCACTATGTTTTCTCACCTGCTTCGCTACAAGTCCTTGTGTAGTTTAGTTTCCTAAACAAGCTTTGAGTCTTCTCTCCTCGAGGCTCTTCAGGATATGTTAACACGTGACGCAGAGTGGCGTGCACATCAAATGGTGACGAAATAACACGCTGGTTGTGTTCCAAGGCTGAGGTTATATCCGGATATTTCTTTTCAAGCCATGCAGGAACTGAGATAGAGAGCCAGGGTAACCGCTCCTCCAGCTTTCCCTGCATGGTATTTCTAAAGTCATCATTACGCGACCCGTGATCTCCAAACAAGATAATCACAGTATTGTCGTGGTAATTTCGATCGACAAACGTACGGAGTAACCGCACGATGTCGTTGTCTGCGTAACTGAGATGATTGGGGTGAGCATGAGTCAAGTAGGACATGAAAGCGAAAGCAAATTTTGGAGTGTTCGGATAAGCCGCGAAATAGCTGAGTACGTAATCTAGGGTATAGTTAACCATAAATGTTGAACGCGAGCACAATCCTGGCTCGTCTCGCTCGTATTTTTCCTCCAATGCCAACCAAAAGGGCCTTGCGTAGTGATGGGCAGGAGGATCCTCAAAACCCCTGAGCCTCAGATTAAACGCGCCCATGGTAGGGTCATCTTCGCCCATCATCGTGACGTATCCGTGCTCCTTGTACAGGTTCATAATCCAGGGCCATTTATCGATGGGGGCGCTGTTTTCATACCCTTGACGACCCTCAGGGGCTTCAGTCTCGTGTAAGCCCGTGAGCATCGCGGTCAGCGCTGGCGTGGTCCCGTCGCCCACGATAGTTTGGCCGGAGATAAAGTAGGTCTCCAGTGACCTCTTGAGAAAATTGATCGATTTTGGCATTTTTCGGCGAAAGTTTGCAGCAGAAACAGAATCGAATCCGAGCATCACAACATTCAAACCCAATCCCTCATTCTTTCCTTGTTGCTTTAACTTCTCCCTTACTCTAGTCGACTCATCTATCACGTCTTGCTGCGGTACAGCTCGAGCGAGATAATTAGTGACTTCTTTGCCACTTGTCAGTTTGTACTTGAGGACGAAAAAATCTGATTTACTTATCACGTTTGAGGGTTGGAATTCCTCCGCTGAAGCGTTAAACGGGTTTCCTTGATTTGCGTAGTGCACGTATCCATCGTCACCATTATCACGGTGAATCGTCTCCACATTTACCTCGCTGAAATCAATTGAACTTGCATTAACCTCCCTCGTGAGGATAAGCCTGTTATCCATGACGTCAAAGGCAGGCAATGGATATCCACCTCTACATCCGGGATCATTGCCAACATCTCTCAACAGATGGCTAATAGAGGGGTCCCACGGGTCGAGATTTGGTAACTTGCATGAGTTCAAATTTGGAGATGCTGTGTATATAGGCGTTGGTGTCTCTGTGGTACTCGGTGTCGTGACCTGTGAGGAAATGTCAGCGTTGAAAGGTAAACTGGACTGGACTGGCTGTGCTCCATAACGCTGGGTTGAACTCTGAGGAGCCTTAGGAACAGAAAACTGAGTAGCGGCATTAGCCTGGGTTATTCCCGTTGTCTCTTCAGCGTCAGTTATTGGAGATAGGTAGTTTGTCAATGATTGGGCTGAACTCGATGCAGTGCTAGGAAGAGAAGACTGAGTGCTAGACTGACTTCTTGTCGTTGTTTCTTCAGTGTCAGTTATTGGAGAACGTTCGCTTGTCAATGATTGCGTTGAACTCGGTGGAATGCTAAGAACAGAGAACTGAGTACTACTTCTAGTCTGATCCATTGTCGTTGTCTCCTCAGTGTCAGTCGCAGGAGATGGGTCAGGTGGTGGTGTGGCGCCATGTTCCTGAAGCCAGTCCAATGTTTCCTCGACTTCGTCATCCCCTTCCACTCCTCTATGAATCTTTCCAGGAGGCTCGGTTGCGTTGATACCACTATCTTGATAAGCTAAATTTCCGTTGTCATAAATGTCCTCGTCGTCTTCCGTTGGATCCTCTCTCTCGTCTTCACTCCTCGGTCTCACGTTGGATTTGTCTCTATTATGAATGATACTGCGTAGGAAAATCATGGATATTTGATGATTAGCTAAAACATTTTAGACGATTAAGTCTAACCAAGAGAGCAGCTAATCACAGAAGATCTCACAAACAAACTCCCAACAAATGATTGCCAAACATTTCATAACTTAATGTGAGGCATAAATAAATAACAGTTTAGGACTTTCTTTATTGTTCCCGTTTCCTAACGGCGATGGGTGTGATGACTTAAGTGGGAAAAAAAAATCAATGGAAGTCTTGTGGTATGGAGTATTGCCAGCCCTCGCTCCGGTGGGGCGGGAAGATGAGAAGATCCTGAAAACGAGCCATCATTATATAGAGGGAAATCTCATGTCATCTTACATGACGAGCCTGCAGAATGTCTGCAAAGGAGTCTAGTTTACAAATGAATCAACCTCGTCCCCAGGGTCTTCTCCGAGAAGGTCTTGGGGACGAGATAGAGGCCAGGTGTTGTTTAGTGCGTCACGAGACTCGCCCTCTGAAGCGTTGCGTGATAACTCAGACGTGAGCTCTACATCCGGTCGTTTTACCCCAAATTAAAGCTCTTTAATTCCGGTCTCTTAAAAACACTGCAGCGGATATTCGCCCTCTCATACAATTTAGAGGATTATCAAGAAGGGAAATCTGAGAATAGGAAACAACTAAACTTACACACACACACACACACACACACACACACACACACACACACACACAC